AACGACAGTTGGGATTGGAAATGCAAAAGTGATTGTTTGTTCGTTCGCTGTAAAATGCGTTGATTCGTCAGTGACACCATTCGCCTAATTCTCGTTCGCCCTATATTTTGTAAAATATGTTTGTCGGCTAATTTTCGTAATTTACCTTGATTTTATTGAATTTCATGAATTTTTCTGTATGAATTTTAACCTGGTCACTCATAACCGATTAAGGAAATCGCATTTTAATTTTCCTTGAGCAGAGGCATGTATAAATCCCTGTCTTGATCAATGAAATTGATTGATTGATTAGGGTTTAACGCTGAGTCGGCAATATTTCAGCCATATTTCGGCGGAGAGCAATGAAATTAAATGGCTAGCTAGGGAAGCATATTGAATATGTGATAGATGGAATATGAATGTTTTGTAAGTTTTATCTATGATTTTTTTTAACCGAAAGGTGACTTAGATTCTTCCCATGCAGAAGGACCTATTTTCAACTGTACGCGTTTTCCAGCTCTTGAGACATTCACAACCACAACATCTACAATTTGTATTCCCTCTTCTTCAGCCCTTTTTCAGCCTAAAAAGTGAAGAAATTTATTTAAAAGCAGTGTGAATTCCGTTCATTTAATGTTGCTTTCTTTTTTTTTAAACTATACTCGGGACCTTTGGCACAGATGTTAACTACCATGTCGAAAGTTTTACGCTCTGAAATGTCTTATTTGCGACCAATTTTTTTCTTTAACTCGCCTGAGCTCAAAACTCAAGTTAGCTTTTTCTGATCACCCATTGTCCGGCGTCCGTATAGCTGTCTGTCTGTCCGTCCGTCCATCTGAAACTTTTCACATTTTCGACTTCTTCTCAAGAACCACTGGGCCAATTTTAACCAAAGTTATCACAAAACATCCTTGGGTAAAAGTGATTCTAAAACGTTCAAATAAAGGGCCAAGCCTGCTTCCAAGGAGAGTTTATCAAGACTGGGCAAAATAAGGGGGGGGGGGGGTCATTCAATAATCTTCTCAAGAACCACTGGGCCATAAAAGATAAAACTAATGTGGAAGTTTTTTGAGGAAATGAAGCCTCTAAATTGTTCAGATCATGACCTCTGGGGTTAGAGTAGGCCACAACAGGGGATGAAAGTTTTAAATGGAAATATATAAGAAAAAATCTTTTAAAAATCTTCACAAGAACCACTGAGACACAAAATGTAAAACTTATATGGATGCCTCATGAGGAAGTGTAGATTCTAAATTATTAAAATCATGTCCCCCTGGATTAGGGTGGGGCCACAATAAGGAAAAAGTCTTACATTAAAATTTATAAGGAAAAATCGTTAAAAATATTTTCAAGAACAGCAAGGCCACAATTAGTCATATTGATATGGAAACATTCTCAGGTAATGTTGACTCTAATTTGTTCAAATCATGACCCCTGGTGGTAGGGTGGGGGCACAATATGTGATCAAAGTTGACATGGGAATGAACAGCAGGGCCAAAGTGACTCAGACGAGAGTTGTGGCCCATTGGCTTCCTGTTTTACATATTCTTTGAAAAAACAATTTAAAATAATGAAGAGTTTATAATGGTCTTTCAATGCTGAAAAGATCTTTCAAATATTTGGATGTGCTTTTCCTCCTTAAAACAGTCAGTGAAAATGACATATTCTTTATATACATGCAGATAAAGTACAAAACACATTTGACAGAATTGAAATCACAAGTTCTTAATAAATAAAAGCAATTAACGTAGGTCGCGGGTTTGCAGGCCATTTAAAAGTGTCCGAAAACATACCATGAAAATTAGTTATATGAATCCTCTACCTTCGTTTTATATTCTCTGAAAATTTTATAAAAAATCGTCTGCATCGTTTTCATTTAATTAAATCCCAAACATGCCTATGTTGTCGTTACATTTTCGACGTTATTCTATTGAATTATATAAGAAAAACGTCGTTTTCGGCTCGTTTAGAGGCAAGATTTTGCTTAAAAAAAAATAACTTTTAAATGGTGCAGACGAAATTGTATTCTTTTTGGTATTTTAACAAAGAATTGATTTGAAATAAATCAATGTGAAAAAATTAATATGTCTTCGGGTTAGTTTTCGCATAATTTAAATGTGGATAATTGCTTTTACATCGCAAAATGTAACATTTCTAAGAACGACGTCATAAAATATCGCGACGTCATGCTTGACTTCGTGAATATCTATCCGGTATTCAGTGCAGAAAAATAAGCTAAAATAATTTTTATAAATAAGAAATTAACGTCTATCTGCTTTCAAGTGACCCGTGAATCGTATCATAATAATTCAATATCGATGAAATGCATGATTACTAGACATGTTTCTCTTCAGATTAAGGGTTTTTGTACGTCTTATATTAGTGCATCTTTGCTAGCCAAGGGTTTTCGGTCCACTCCGTTCCCCATAAACCCTAGGGTTTATGGGGAGCGGAGTGGACCGAAAACCCTTGGCTAGCGAAGATGATATTAGTGAAAATTCTCGCAAGGGACGTAAAACAACAATCAATCCTTTAGTTTCTTTCTTCCAATTTACTTTCTTTATGTGTTGTTTTCTTACCGTTTCTTTTCTGTTTGTTTTGTTTTGCTTTTTTTCGTATATTAGACGTATCCTTACATTTGGCTGTGTATTTTTCTTTTCAAGCGTGCTGGCGGAAAACGGTATCCTTTAATTCAAGTAATTCAAGTATATAAAATGTTTTAATTTAGACCATTCATCAAGGCCCTCAAATCTCCGAATTTCTGCCAAATATCGTCTAGGCTAAATACAATATATTTTCAGTATATATTTAAACAAAATATTTATTTTACATACATGTGTACCACATTGTCAGAGGGGTAAATGGGACGAGGATTTAAAAATTAATTTTATCTTACGTAATCAACAGTCAGTTTTTTAAGAATATTAATTCTACTTGTTGGACATGGAAAGTAAAGCAGCGAATAAAATCTGTAGGTAACAGCGTTGCAAGCTGTTGCTTAGCGGACGATCATTTCAAGGGTTGGGGGGGGGGGGGTGTTCCAGATTTTGGAAATAAATAATATGTCCTCGAAAATGTTGAAAATAAATAATCTGTCCTCGACTGCTTGTCAGACTTTTTTCAGTGAAGAAGAAATAAATAATCTGTCCTTGTTTTTTTTAGAAATAAATAATCTGTTCTTCACCGACATAAAAATAAACAATCTGACTCGGTAAAATTTGCAACACCCCCTCCCTCGGAATCAAATAGTTGTCCCCTAACAGGAGGTCAGTGTCGCTAAAAATTGTCTTAATGTTTCATCGTACCTTAGCAGTATTTAATTTATGATAAACTTGTACATCTACCGGTATATATTTTAAAAAATATCCTGTTTAAAAATAAAGTTTAATCTTTTGATGTAACAGGTGTATTTGCGATTTAAAAAAAAAAGAAAGAAAAAAAGGCTTCTTTCTTAATAAAACAAACTGATAATTCAAATACGATCAAAGGAAAAAAAGGTCTGTTGAACCTTGTGTCCATATCGTTTCGCGATACCAAGTGAAAACAAATCAATCGCAATAATTCTCGGGCCTTTCCGACAAGCCGAAAAACAACCACTTGTTTTTCCAAGCTTGCAGGAAAGGCCCGATAAGATGCGATTGATAACAAATAAATAAACTTTTTTAATATTCCACTGTCAATCATTCGAATCGTAATAAGCCTTCTTCACTAAATTACCAATTCCAACAAAAGTTTTATCTAAGTATTGTATCGACTATACGAATCGTAAAAAGCCTTCATTATTTGTGATAAGTTGCTGCTTAAATAATATAACACTAAACTACCAATTCCAAGAAAAGTTATAGCTAAATATTGATATAATGAAAAATTTAATAAAACAAAAATCATTGCAGATTTCTTTTTCATTGTGACGTCATAATCAAATGTGCACAAGAAAGTCGCCCAAATCATATAAATTGCGTACCCAGTTTTGACGACGTCAGCAAACCCGCGACCTACGTTAATTTTGGAATGACTCTAATTCTTGGCCAAATTATTTAAGAAATAAGGTATCATTTTAAAACATCTATCGGGCTATAAATACGGGTTGGTCACGAGATCAAATTCCATAAAGCCCGAAGGGCTTTATGGTAAATTTGATCTCGTACCAACCCGTATTTATAGCCCGATAGATGTTTTAAAATGATACCTTATTACTTATATTTACATTTGTGACTTATTCATATTTTATATTTGCCTGATTATAATCTTTAACGCGTGAAACGTTTTATTTTTCAAACCCAACGGCACGTGTTTGATCCTTTGATTGCGCGTCGACCCTTTGTGACGTGGCTGAGAAATTTCGTCGAACGTTTATGACGCGAGGAACCCGTGTTTATACGGATATAGATACGCGTTGCTTTTAATAGTCTTATATAAAAGAAAACATTTGCAAATGTAAATATTCGATTATAACCTGGTTTGGGTCAGTTTACGCTGTTTTATAATCCGCTTCGCGGATTATAAAGCGTAAACTGACCCAAACCAGGTTATACTCGAATAATTTGGCAAAGAATTAGAGTCATTCCTTATAATTTAATTCTAAAATCATTAAACAACTGTGGGTGTAAAATTTCGTTGCTTTTTATTAGTTCAAATTTGCCGCTCAATAATACAACCCTAGTAACGGAAGTGATGGGAAGCGAGGGGAGGTAAAAACTGATACATAGTCCTAGCAGCCATGTTGTTTTGTTTACATTTGGTAAGATCCAAGTTACTGTTTGAAGTTAAAGGTACATTTATTAAATCTGGAATTTTCCATGAATCCCGAGGACTGGAAATGAGAGGATTGCATGGATACAGACGATTCAGCTGGTTGTCAGGGGGGTGTGTCCCCATACCAAACCAGGTTATACAGAAATAATTTGTGTTCCTTTTTGGCTATTAACCAATCAGAGGCTAGAATACAAACAAAATTAAATTATATAAAAATAATAAATTTTACATATGCCTAAATGAAATGTATTACATTTGCGTTATTTTTACGAAGAACATTCCTCTAAGAGTTTTTCTATTTCTTCAATTTGCACGCAATTGCTTAGATCCATCGATCTTTCAATTGTTAGAAGATCAGGATAATTTTTGAGAAGATATTTACATAGTCTGTTCGACCTGTTAGCACAGGCGTTGTACAGAATAGATTTTCCAGCTCTGGAGACATGATACACGAACAAATCGTGTTCTGCAACTAAATATTCCAAAATTTTAATTCTTTTTTCATCAGCTCCTCCTAGTTCACCAAGAAATAAGGCAGCATTCCAGCCCTTTTTGCTTTCTTTATTTACTAGATCAGGATATCTTTCAGCTATGTATTTTACCATTTCAAATCTGCCATGTCGACAGGCAACGTGTAGGATGTTGATACCCTGAGATGACTCTTCATCCACTTCAATCTTACACACATCGATCAGATATTGTAAAACTCCCACTTTTCCACTTTTAGCTGCAAAATGTCCGGCATTTCTCCCTTGTTTGTCTGATGCATTAATGCACTTCGGAAATTTCTCAGCAATAATTTTACATGCCTCTAAATGTCCGTTTTCACAAGCAGAGTGAAAGGGGTTTTTTAAATCTTCGGTTTTATTTAAATCCGGAACTTTATTCTTGGAAAAATACTTTATCAACTCCACATAACCTGATTTTGCTGCATATTGTAGCGGTTTCCAATCCATTTTATTTTTTTTCTGAATAACTGCAAATGACATTTCTAGAATTTCTTCACTGTTACCTATACAAGCAAGGTGCGCAAGAGTTTCTCCATATTTAGTTTGGTAATTGACAACATCAAAGCCTTCTTCCTTGAATATCTCAATTGTAGAAACGTGTCCAGCTAGTGCAGCATAGCAGAACGGGTTGAGTCCATTTTTATCTTTCGCATGAAGCAATTCATCTTTTGAAGAACTCTTACATGTAAGTATATATTTAACTATGTTTGTGTTTCCTCTCCTAGCAGCTATGTGGAGAGCGGTCCTGCCAATTTTATCAGCTTCATTTAACTCAATGTAATGTAAGAGGTCGTGAAATATTTGCTCGTTTCCACCATACGCAGCATGATGTAGAAGAGTCCGACCTATCTGGTCACGTTTGCTAACATTTTTGGATAGTATCGAATGCAAGGAATAGTATTCTTCTGACTCGCCGTTTTTGCAAACATCTATTAGAGACAGAAATTCCGAATCTACAAAAAGTAATGAGTAGAGTATGTCATATTGAAAATATTTATTAATACTAAAATATGATGTCATGCAAACTCAGTGAAATAAAGTACACACACTGAGTGACTCGCACCCCCCCCCCCACACACACACACATTAGTGTGTTTGGTTAATTTTCGTAACAAAATTTTTTTTTATCAACTGCTGCAATGTCTAGGTATAATTGCATGTTTAAGTTTGAAATTTATGGATAACTTGTAACTATGGTCTATTCTTGTTTAATTAAAAGGAACACGCACTTCTTTATAAATAGAGCTTGGACCTATAAGATTGGGATTGGTTTCAGTCTTTGCAAAAAGCTTGTCGATTTCCTTACGGTCAATGACTTAAGCTACGTACATGTAATTATTCGTTTTCATTTTATTACAGTATATAGAGATCGATAGGAGGAACCTTTCCATAGACATTTATTACGAATTTAAGCATGATTAAATTGTCAAAACATTTTGAGTTTGTTATCTCGAAATGTTATTTGATTTGATTTTACCCCTTACTTTTCATTGTAAACAAGCATTCTGAGAGTATTAATATTGCATTAGCAATACTAGTCCCCTACCGGCAAGTGTAATCTGGTTCCTGTTAAAAATTGAAAATGCCATAATTCCGTCAAAAATCAATGAAGCGAAACGAAATGTAAAGTTGGTCTGTTACTCATCAAGATACACTCACATACCAAAAAACCAGCTCAATATCTGCAAGCATTTAGAAAAAAAGTGTGGAAAACCAAGTGGGACAGACTGACAGACAGACAGAGGGACAGCTAGACGGACGGACAGACTCAGAGGAAACCTATAGCCCCCCCCCCCCCCGGTTTCACCGGTAGGGGACTAATAATGATAATGTCCATATTCTTATTTTTTCTTCATGTGTGATTATTTTACAACACATCTCCGTTGATACAATAAAACAAGCCATTAATGTATACAAATTATAAAAATTAAATCCAAGGGAGTATATATACTGATATTTTATCCTTCTGTTTGAAAACTTTAGATCTGAAATTTATTGACTCGGTACACGAAGTTCACCAATGTAAGAGCGATGTAATATATATCGGCCGATTACCGCTCGAACATCAGTCTATGATTATAAGCGCGTCATTTTTTCGCATATACAACTGCATTCAGCAACAATGGCAAGACCATTTTATACTACTTGTCCGAAAGAATCGCCATCGGCCACGAGAGTTCAAGTTACTTCGGCCGACCATCACCTGGGCATCCTACAATGTCTGTAAGATGGCCGGCCAATAATCGTACGATGTCTGACTCACCGTCCGGTCACCGGCCGAGCATTGTAGGATGATCGGTGAAGACTGTCGGATCTCCGGTCGATGTTCGGCAGGTAATCGGTGCCACGTCGGTCAAAAATGTTTCCCTCTAGACTCACTCGCCGTACGATTATCGGCGGGGGTATGCACGGCCTCCGCACAATGTCTGTTGCCATGACAGATGTGTTAAAGGAGTACTTGGACGATGAGGACCGATGTTAGGGCATCGTTCACCTAACAACAAAGCTTTGTGATAAACGTGATGACTTCAACTTTTCAATCGTCAACTTCCCTTACTTGTGTAGCAATTATATACCCTTATTACCTGCATATGAGGTTTATGTCTCTCAGTTGATTCGATACGTAAGAGCATGCTCTACGTATGAACAATTTCTAAAACGAGGCAAGCTATTGACAAACAAGTTAACGAAACAAGGACATCAACCATCTCGTTTGAAGTCATCTTTTGGCAAGTTTTTCGGTCGATACAATGACATTGTCACCACATACAACCTATCATTGAGTCAAATGCTGACTGACATTTTTCATATACTAATTGTTAGGCCATTATTTACACACTGAACTATCTACGGATTTTCTGGTTTTGGTTTCCCGATCATGACAAGGTGCAAACGGCGGGTGTGATCGGTTGGCAGGGGATGCTCACTACTCCATGGCACCTGATCCCACCTCTAAATTTTGAGGTCCGTGTTTACTCTGCTCCTCATCTGTATCGTTTCATTGGACTTTCGAGATTGAATACTGTTCGTTATCTTCATATTTCACATCACTGATTACCACCGGTGTACGGCCACCGGACTGGAAATCTGACTGAGGCTTTATAATTTTATCTGCGTCGATGGCCGATTCTTTCAATTGAAGCAGTCGTTGAATAGTCCGTCGACCAACGTTAACCTTCGATCATCGTCCGACCATCGGCAGACAGTTCGTTAAGTCGGTTGTCGGTCGGTCGACATTTAGGAAAGGGTTTTCGTAAATGTCGGGCGACTGTGAAAATCAAACTGCGGCTTAGCGAACGATGATCAGGTGACTGTTGGCCGACTTAGAATTAATTTTTGGAAATTTTCGGTGTTCTTAGGAATTTTAAAATGTGACTGCTCGTCGCCCGATTCCAGTGTCGGCCGATCATGTTTTTCAGCCGACGACACGAGAAAAATTTGATCGCCCGACCATCGGCTTTAAGGGGACTAGACACAGATTTGAAGTCAATATTTTCTCAAATTTTCTGTATTATATCATGACTTATAAGTTGCTATAGGATTTCACACGGAAATATAATTTTTAAAAAACTCATTTTATCTGGAAATTATTGTACCTACGAATTTCGGGACGTGTTTGATTGAAACATCCTTGCACTTTCACAAAGTAAACTTTATTCTTTAAACTTAAGAAAAGAAGAAATTTTGTTGTGTATTAATTAAAAAAATATTAAAACAATAATCCAGAAAATTCATAGTAGAAATGTGAGAAAACAGAACCAACTCACTAGTATTTTCATTCCGTGCTCAGTGATGTGTGCAGAGTTTAACAAATTGAACACACCCGGTGAAATCTAACAATCCACAAGATTCCCAAAATTCGTAGTTTCAATAATTTTCAGATAAAACAAGTTTTTTTTTTTATTATATTTCCGTGTGAAATGCTATAGAAACATATAAGTCATGATATAATACAAAAAATTGAGAAAAATTAACTCCAAATCTGTGTCTAAGCCCCTATAAATGTGACAGGCATAACACAGAGTGAATAATTCTTGTCTTCAAAGAAAGTGTGCTATACTAAGGTATAGTTCTGCTTGACTGTGTTTTATTTACAATGGAATTTACGATTTGCTTTCTCTTTAGTGTCTTTTATATCAAGAATGGACATGCATAAAAGATAGATAATTGAAAGAAAATACACAAGACCCTATAAAAAATTAGAATAGTTTTTGAAAAGACAAGAATTTAAAAGTGTATAAAAGTGTGGCACCAGTTGGATTTGAACCACGACTCAAAAAAGTATCTTCTGTGTATATACCTAGCTGTTTTACCAATCTAGCTATTCTGGCTTTGAAAACAAAGGGTATAAATGCGAACTAGGTTCATAAAAACAGGTCTCCTTATTTTTTGTAGGTTTTTTTGAATTTCGACCTTAGAGCAGGAGTGTCTCTTAAAAATTCCCTCCTTAAATTATTCTTTTCATCACAACCTCAAAATATCATAATTTTATTTAGGGGCAGGCCTGCCCTGAAAGACTTCTAGGCCAAATTTCATGCAAAAATCTGTGCTTTAAGGGACAAAATGCTGTTTTGGCCAACTTTGGAGGTTAATTTTTAAGTTCTAAATAATAAATTTTAGGTTCAAAATACATTTTTTTTTTTAAATTTAAGAAATATATACGTTAGTTAACAACTAATGAATATTGAATTTAAAAAGTGGCGTTTTCCGGAAAAATTTTCTCTCCTATATATAGGTCAATTCGAATACATCCTTTGAATGTATTGCTTCCTGTTTTAAACAAATTGGAAAATGCCTCTCAATCCTGAAAAAAATATAATCAAATTGAAGAACATAGGTTAAAGTTCTTTTTCGGACATCGAACGCCTTTTCAAGAAGTGGGGAAAAAGTACTAAAAATTATTAACTCTCTTAATAAAACTATATGCATGGCATTGACCACAATTAATACGTCTAACAGTTGAACATAAAAGAAATATTTTTAGAAACCTTCCCACGGATGGATTGACATATATTCTAACAGATAGAATTAGATGAAATTGTGCAAAATATATTGTGCAGAATATATTTAACTCATTTTGCATTTTCCCGAATGTTTCCAACTTAACATTCATTTATTTAAACTTCCTTTGTTTGGTTTGAGAAATTTTAATTGAGTATGTACACTGAAATATGAAGATAACGAACAATTTTCAATCTCGAAAGTCCAATGAAAAGATACAGATTTGGAGCAGAGCAAACACGGACCTCAAAATTTAGGGGTGGGATCAGGTGCCATGGAGGAGTGAGCATCCCCTGCCGACCGGTCGCACCCGCCGTGTGTTCCTTGTAATGATCGAAAAAAAAAACCGGAAAAAATCCGTAGACAATTCAGTGTATAAATAATGGCCTAACAATTAGTATATGAAAAACGTCAGTTTTTTGTTCAGTTTCAGTCAGTTTAGTTTGACTTAATGATAAGTTGCATGTGCTAAAGGGAAGTTGACGATTGAAAAGTTGAAATCATCACGTTTATCATAAAGCTTTGTTGTTAGGTTACCATGAACGTATTTTTCTAGTAAAATATCTAAATATGAAACAAATGTGTCAGAATCTGTGGTATCTTTTATTTCAAGCTCACTGGGATATATCGAGTCGACATATGAATGGAAGTAACTATTGTTAATTAATAATACGTCGTCGATATATCAAAATGTCGAGTTGAAAGCCACAGCAAGTGTTTTCTTCTTCTCATATAGAAGGTTTTGAATAAATTCTGCTTCATATGAATACAAAAATAGGTCTGCTAATAACGGGACGCAATTGGTACCCATGGGATTGTCAACAGATTGTTGGAAGACCTGATCTCCAAAAACCACATAGATATTGCCAATCAGAAATTCAAGCATCTTTTTAATATCAACTTCAGAGTACTTGTGTGTACAATCAGAATGCTTTTGAACAAAATGATTTTCTAAATGACCAATGACAAGGTAAGTATATATTTAGAGTTCCATTTTTATTGAAAAAGCAGCTGTCTATGATCTCAAAAAGCCTGGACTTAAATTTATGGTGGGGAATGGTTGTATAAAGTGTTGAAAAGTCGTACGTTTTGATGTTATTGATTTTAGTAAAATTTTGTGATTTAAAATTTTCTAAAAGTTCCTTGGAGTTTTTCATGATCCACATCTGATTTACACCACTTCTCAAATATATTGTTGTACAGTACTCCTGAAGTTTCTCCTTCATTACAGTAAATTTTTTAGTGAGGAGCTAGTAAAGAAAGAGGCTTGGTAGAACATTTATTGGAACCCGCTTTGAATCTTTGTTTGTAAGGATTTTTATGAAGTTTAGGAATCCAGTAAAGGTATGGTAATTCAAATTCATTTTGATTGTTGGGAATATTAAAAATGTCTAAAACGGACATATGAAAAAGGTGAAGATAATGAACAGAGATCGATCACAAATTTGTGAATATGGCATAAAACACAGATCCCAGAAATTCCAGAGGTGGGATCAGGTGCCTAGGAGCAGTAAGCATCCCTGTAGACTATGTTTACAAAAATCTATCTTTCGAACATCAATTTTACGCATTGTCCTGCCTGTAATGAAAACGTCCTCATCACAATAGAGATGATTCTTGATGTCATCTTTAAACAGCTGCAACTATTTTGTAAAGTACGAACTTTTTGTGTATTTTTGTCACACAATTATTTCTTACTTTTTTTTAACATTGACTTGTCTTATTAACTTTGAGTAACTTTCAAGACTCTTAACCTGGTCCAGCACAACTTTTTTGGTATGATTTTACTATTTTTTCGTAACATAATAAGATCCAATTTACAATATTCCTCCGTTTATCTTGTAATTGCTAAGATGTAGTAGATAGAAGAAAACTGACCAAAATGAACTTTATTGTTTTGCACACTGTCTTCAAATTATAAGCACTACAAACACATGAAGTAACTTTAGAAGATGGTATCCAACATTTAAAAAATGTCATTTGATTGAAGAGGATTTTTTTGTATTTTAATGTATAGAAGGGACAATTATCGAATATATTTATGCAAACAAAAATTAGCATTGATTTTTTTAACCAACTTTCTAGCTTGAAGGATTTTATTCACTAACAAAAGTTTACAGGTACGACAAAAATTCTCGTACGTAAGAAAGTAGATTATAATTACCTTGATCTTTTGGAACTTCTTTCTTTTCTTGATCACCTGTACTCAAAATTTTTATTCATTTGATTGAAGAGGATTCTATTGGTATTTTTGTTATTCGATAAAGTATAGAATGGACAATTACGGTATATATTTATGCAAACAAAAATAAGCATTGATTTTTTTACCAACTTTCTAGCTTGAAAGATTTTATTCACTAACAAAACTTTACAGGTACAACAAAAATTCTCGTACGTAAGAAGTAGATCATAAATACCTTGATCTTTTGGAACTTCTTTCTTTTCTTGATCACCTGTACACAAAATTCATATTCAAATTTACTACAATCAAACCATTTTATAGAATTTCAGGGATTTATGAATCAAAAAGTGTTTAGTCTACTGCCTAAGATAGGAAGAACTACCGTATATACTCGCCTATAAGTCGGTTGTATTTTTTGAGGTTAGTTTGGGGGGATTTGCCATTGACCCGCTTATAGAATCGGTTGACGATTTCAGATCAGTGCTCTGATCTTTTAACCTGGTTTGAATTAACATTTTAAGAAATGACACTAATATGTAATTTTAAATCATTAAAAAAAATAAGTAATACACACTTAAAGAGACACTGTGACGGACAAGCGGGAAAATAGACAAATGTAGAATTTTTGCAAGACACTTGCAAATTTTATTCTATTCTTGAAAGTATTATGTTTTAGAAAATTACAGGTTTCAGAAATCTACTTTTATGGAGAAAAATATAAGTAAAAATAATTTTTAGTTTGCCCCAACACGAAAATATTGCTTCACTTCTTCCTCTTTAAGGTACGCATGCGCAGAAAATTTGAAAAGGTTACCATGGTGTCAATTCCATAGATTCAAATGTCGGATGACCGAGGATTTTGATATAATCTTCAAAAAAGATGATCAGAACTTATTCCTCACTTTTGGTTGCTCTAATTCAATGTTGTTTACAAGTTTCACGCTTAAAATAAAAGACACCTGACCTTGTTGACATTGACGATAACAACCACGCCATAGATACAACTTTTCTTTTTCCGGCACTTGCGCGATTTGCAGTCTTTTCTTGCTTTTACCGTGCAGTTGAGATCTCAAAATTTTGCCTTAAGCTTATTCATATTTCTCATAGATCTTTAGCTTTATGATACAATTTTCTTAAAGGAAACACATGATATTGACTCACAGTGTAACTTTCAGATAAAAATAAAGTTATAAAAATATGTAAAAACAAATTTAACTCCCCAAAAACCGACTTATAGGCGAGTATATACGGTACGCACACTAACTCTCGATTCCCGCCTACATTTTATTCAATACAAATGACAATTTGGACATTAAAACTTGTTTGAATGCAAAGAAGAATTCATTAGTAATTGATAAATAATTTTAAAACCAGTGTCAGACCGTTAACTGCTCTTATTTACTTGCTTTCTCAGCTGGGACTAGTACATATTGATTGTGCAATCTATCTAGAAATAGGTCCATAGGATATGACTTCCCAGTCTAAGGTACATTTGTATTGCACCATATAAACAAACGTGCCTTTCTTCTTTAGTATGAGATAATAGTAAAATATGATGAAAATAGGAAGAAATTTTCATATTTTTTTCATATACAGATTGACGACCTCGTTGTCTTTTATTGCATGGAATATGTATTTAGCGTAGATTTAACTAAAGGCAAAATGAAATCTTACTGTTCTGAGTTCATTTTCTCATATTTAACAAATTTCTTTATACTCTCATATATGAGTATGGATAAATTACACTTACAGAGATTCATCTGTGTATGAGTTTTAGGAAATTACCCTTTATGAAATTAAGTGCAAAATGAGGAAAAGTATCACTCAAGGTCAAAGGAAAGGTCAAGAATAGAAAATTATGACATAATATAATTGCTCTTACAAATATGTACCAGTTGAAAAAGTTTGAAGAAAATATCTTGAACATGTTTTTTGAAACTGAGGTAACTGTAAAATGAAGGAATAGTGAGGTCAAAGTCATTGGAAAGATCAAGTAAGAAAATTGGAAGAGAGAATTGCGGAAGGACGTAAGACCACTCATAATAAGTCATAATAAATGCAAACACCTCGAGGTAGTGCAGAATCATATATATGTTCAAATCACGACCCACAGTGGGATTCGAACCTGCGATGTAAGGATCAACTCCTTACTCCGCGACTCTAGAGCGAATGCTCTAACCACTGCACCACGCGGGCGACACATGGAAATGATAAATCATATTAATATGCAAGCATCCCCAAGTAGTACAGATTCAAATTTTTTTTTATCATGATCATCGGGGGTAGGTTTGAGTTTAGTAATTACATGTAGGTATGTAGGAAACAACTTTTTAAAAAGTCTTGAATACGCAATTATCCTCAGGAAGTGCAGATTCAAGTTTGTTCAAATCATGGCTTGGGGGGGGGGTTTAAAATGGGGCCACAATAATGGGATTAAAGTTTCATCAGGAGATACAGCTGTATTTATGAAAAAAAAAACTTTAAAAATCTTGTCAAGAACAAAAGGACTTTCCTTGTTCAATTTATTTTAGGATTTTTCATGTTTAGCAGAAGTTCTTTGTAATTTCCTAACATTATTGATTTGTAAGAATTGTTCATTTTTCTTATATATCTTAAAATGTTTCATCTATAACAGAGGTTCCTTTTAATTATGTAATATTTTCAATAATAATTCATATCATGTAAAAGCCAAGGAAATTTTGCACTTACCATTACTATTGTTTTTCTGCATTGTTGTGTATTTCCATATTACTAATATTGCAGCAAGTAGTAGTACGATCGCAGAAAGGGAATCAAAGAATGGGATTTTATATTCATCATTTTTCTCCTTTATCTGGTTTGCTGTACAATAAGGATATTAGAGGTTAGTATATTTTGACGACCTACGATAAGAAAAATTCTAATTCATCTATCCTAAAACAAATTCTTAGAATTTTATTTTTAATTAAAATTTGTGCAGATGCCTTGTGGAAAACGTCATTTGTTTGACCAAATTTACCATCCTTTAACAGGCTCTAAATTCGCTCTTTAGTACATCTGGGAGGACAAATAAAGAATTTTGTAGACACGTTTTTTTCTTAGATTTCTTTATGTGTATTTGAAGTTTTGACTCTAAATAGGACAAAAAATGTTTTAATTGATAATCAATTTTAAGTCAAAAATTAAATATTTTATTAATGTTTGAAATATGTGTCACGTAACACATGACAGACATATAACGTAACATGACAGACGTACGATAAAACGTGACATGATTAAATTACATTTCTGATGCTTAGCAATACAAATAATCTGTAAAAAATGAAATTAAACAATTCCTTAAACAATGCAAAAAATTTTTTCACTCTTACGTAGAAGAAAAAAGATTTTAAAGCTACTTTTGATGCACAAACTGATGATCGTAACACTGACAGACTCCTATACTTAGCCAGCCAAATAAACCATAAACTTTCATTATTTTATTAAAAAGATAATGTTGCCGTAAGAAATGGACATTATTCAAATTTTGATTCCTTATAGATTCTTAATTTGAATTTTTAAAAAATAAATCTCTGCTATACGCTTGGTAACATACAAAATTTCCATCATGTCTGTCATGTTACGATATTTCTTGAGCAATACCTGTTTGAAACGAGCCAATAAAATTTATCATTCTAAGCTTATCTTTTATTCTTGGAAATTATAATACACAAGACATTATTATTTATGAAAATACTAATGAAATTTAAAAAAATAAATTATTTCATATAGATCAAACCTATATCGTAACATGTTCGGATGCACGTAACCCTGACAGACTCGTTTTAAAAACTGCAAGAAAACAACTACAAAATTGTATTGTTAAGTTATAAAGACAAATATTGCCTTATGATACACTAATATTCTTAAATAAAAATACTCTTTGGTTTAATTCACTGAACGTATAAATCTGAATGCACCCGTTTGATTCACGTAACATGAACAGACATTTGTTTTGTCCGTCACCGGTACGATAGTATTCAGGCAATGTCTGTCAATCGGTACGTTATGTAAGAAATGTCAAATTTTAAGTGTTTATGTAGTGATGAAGAGCGTGCAAGTTCATATTTAAAAAAAACAACTAAAATACACCTACTAGCTGACAATATTTGATGATATGTGTTTAAAATCTAGGATAAAGACAACTAATAACATACTTTGTGTAACGTAACACTTGACAGACAAAGGTTCGTGGCTTCTCGGGCTCTCTCTGTAGCTCTTCTTATCGAAATGTAAACATATTTGCATAGAACACTGGAGAAAATCTAAATATTCATAACCTTTAAGTCAAATGTATAAGAAGAAGCATCTCCGAGCTCCATTCTTAAAATAGAACGTAACGCCCACTTGCCATGACAGACACAGGAAGCATCCCACAGATTTGTTAATTTCTAAACACACGTGCTTTTCTGTTGAATCTGCGATCACTTAATTGATAAACAGGTAAATTTTTTATCAGTAGACAAGAAAGATAAAATAGTTTGCATAAACAATGGGCCATTTTATAACAATGTACCCGGTGTATTGAGTCTGACAGACGTTACGTTCAAAATATGAGAAGAAATAAATTCCACTTTTTCTTTTATTTTAGACAAAATGTGCATTAAAATACGTTTGTATGTTAATTTTATCCTTCCTAAACAGTAGTGAATGAAGATATTCTGTGTACAAGGTATTATCGCCGTATATTTGACTTTTATTTTGTCATGGTTGAAAATGTCCCCCTACACATGCGTAATTCTAGTGGAATTATCAAATTCATTTCAAGAAAAAAAAAGTAATTTGATGAAAAAATCTGCTTATTTTGTCTTTTTTATATATTTGCATTATACTTTTCAATATAAAACATTTCTTATTTCAATTTTTTAAATAATTTATTTTATATTCCTCTTGTTAAAATCATAGGTCAAGATGTATTCAAGAGCGAATTTAGAGCCAACATTCTGGTCAGACGTAAAACGCGATATTTAAAGACAATGTAAGGCAACTTGGATCTTACAAAAAAAAAACCATATTTTCCCTTTTTCTCTTTAAAGGAAATTTTACTTTCCAAAATCTGGAAAATTAAATCTTTATAGCTAGCATTATTAATATTGCGTATATCCATGAAATTTTTGTGATAAATCTTTTCAATTTTATTAATCTGTAAAGAGCTGCATATTTTTATCCTGACAGATATTTGTCAATAATCATTTGTTTCCCCATGTTTACATTCACGAGACCTTTTTGATTTCAGCTGACGTCATAAATTACAAATGACGTCATTGATCGATAATGGAAATTGTTAGCTATTTATAGAAGTTTATAGCATTAAATACATCATACCATACAAGTATCTTACTTCTATAAATAGCTAACATTTTTTTAAAATGATTTTTTCAAAATCATCGCGCTATTTTTACGTTTGTTCATAAATATATGGCACAATATTGTAGATCTAGACGAACAACTAAAAAGATTAAAAAGACATCAATGAAGAACTAAATAGAATAAACTCAAGAGGACCAAATAACAAATTACCTGCAGGGAAAGACATGAACACAAAAAATAGATGGAAGAAGCGGGAAGGAAGTTACAACAGCTACTGATGTTAAAAATCTTTTTAATATGGAAAAAACGGCACGGATTGTCGAAATACTGAGACGTTATTCTTTCAGTATGTTTCATTTTACTTTATTATACTTTCATGTTAAATACTAAAATCTGATTGGTTTAGACGCATATAACAATCCGTAATGTTACCCTCAGCGTTAGCAACACACTTGGCAACGGGTAACATTACGAAAATGTTACATGCGTTCAAATCATGCGCGTACGGTTCACCGTAGAATTCTCAGAACGTCAGTTGTGCGTTTGAAAGAAGTCGAATAAACGACGTCAATAAAAGCTTTCGTCCGATGTAGCTTACTTGAAAACAACAAACGACAGACGAAACATCCTAGCGAGTGCAAACTTTAGATGATAAAGGACTTTTTGAGTAGCAAACAAACAATAAAGAGGTTGGTAAATCTTTTCCGAAGCTTTCTTATTGAGAAAAATATAAGCGGGGAGTTTGAGAGCTTTCTAAGAGTGAACTTAACGACGATCTCCGAATTTTTTTTAATGACATCCGAAATCAAAAAGACATTCAGTATAATAAATTAAATAGTGCACGTTTTTGAGGGTAACAGTTGAAATTGACACCCCTCGGAAAACCATTGTCAACCTCCGCTGACGCGTCGGTTGACAATGGTTTTCCTTGGGGTGTCAATTTCAACTGTTACCCTCAAAAACGTGCACTAATATAATAGCTGTAAACGTTGTCAGTCCTCAGTGTCCAATATATGTGGAATGTTTCAGTAACAAATTTTTCAAACTGTTTAATCTTTTGTTATTTTATTATATATACAGCAGGCGTTAAATGCATCTCTTTTTTAAAATGACACTAGAAAAAAAAAAGATATATACAGGAGAATAAACATAATCAAACAAGTGATCTGACAGCTGATAAGGTGCTGTTACTACCTTGTGTGATTAAAATGCTTTAAAGTCATTACGCTTTATTTAGAGAATATACATGGATAATTTTTTGTCGAAGTCTGATGGATGGATAATTGGGTTGCCTTGTATACTAGTACACCTAGCTGGCTTTCGTTTTCGCTCACTTCATCATATGTCCTGTATTGAACAGAAGTGTTATTTGATATCAATAATTACTGGATGTTTATTAATAAATAAATATACATTGGTATAGAATAGATCATGGATTACAATTTATTATTCTTCAAGATTTTATTACTTACTGCATTCTTCAAAACCCCAATCCGTTTGTGACATTCTTTCCTATGCATCTGTGACTAAAAAAAATTAAAATGACAAGAATATACATGATTACGGGTAAGGGATTATCGATTAAGTTGTGGCATTTAATCTGACTGTGTTAAATATTTAAAAAGAACATACAAGGGCCATTTAAAGAATTTGTAGACTTTTGTCATAACTCTTTTTATTTAACGTCATATTATAACCAAATTTGGTACACAAATTTTAACTATAAATTCAAATAATTTGAGTCAAAAAATTTTAATTTTTCTTGATATTTATCAAAATTATAAAAGATTTAAGGCAGCAAAAATTGGGTCACGGAGAAGGGTCAAAATTGAGTTATTTATTAACCATACACTTTATAATGTCTATAGTCATACCTCTAATAAATGACGCTTAAACGAAATAAAACTCAAATGTTCAAATTAAGGTTTTGCCAAAGGTCAAGATGTCCAAAAACTTATTTTTACAATAGCTCCAAAACTATGTGAGATATAAAGTTAAAACTTTCACAGTTTAAAAATATATCATTGATTAACAGATGGAAAGTATCACTTGAAAACAAATATTTAAAAAAATATTTTTTGAGAGAAAAAATTTCAAAAAATTTACATATTTTAAAAAAATGCACCTGCTTAATTCTGCACTTTTAGTGAAAACCATCATTGCAGAAATAATGTATGTTTATCAATGAAGCGCAAGTTGGACGTGAATGCTCTCTGAAAGGCTGTTATTGAAAGCATGACATGTATTGAAGGAGATTGTGTAAAATCATCTGCATCAATATAAAAGGTTGTTTTAATTTTTAAAAGGCATATTTCAACAAAATATGTCATTTTATGAACTTTCTGTGTGAAAGCACATATTTTAAAAATTAGAAGTAGGGTTGAATTGAATTTTTAGAGATTT